ACTCCTCCTATCCCCTCCCTTGTCTTCCCCATTCCTGCACCCCTCACTAATTGACAGCACAACTCCAGCCACTTGTGAATGGCTGTCAATCGCAATTTGACGCCTACCAGCCACATGTCCCTCGTAGGTGAAGGCATGACACACATAGAAGCCCCAGTGAGTACATTCAGCGCTGACCAGCGCATCATTTTGTCCAGATTTTCATCCAAACCAATTGGCATATTTAAAACAGGCAAGAATACAAGTTCGTATTCAGCCGGGCATTTTGTTCGATTTATCCAACATCCTGGCAAAGCAACTTCAAGTGTACTTCAAAAACAACCACAAAATTCATTTATATAGCGCCTTTCATGTCGAGGACTTCCCAAGGTGCTAGACAAGACAGTTTCAGACCTGAGCTGAGGGTCGCGGAGGGGGGAGGGCAGTGAGGCGAAGCAGGGAGATCGAAAGCACGATACACCCCCCCCCCCACACACACCCCCGCCCCACCCCCTCACACACCCCTCCCCCCCCTCACACACACCACCCGCCCCACTCCCTCACACACCCCTCCCCCCCACACCCCCTCACACACCCCTCCCCCACACCCCCCCCCCGCCCCACCGCCTCACACCCCCCCTGCGAGGAGGGGGGAGATGGTCAGGATGAGTGGAGGAAAGGGAGTGGTGGTGTGGCTCTCATCTCCCGGTCGCCTCTCTGCCTTTCCCCTTACTCCTCCGGAACCTTCCCCTCGTTTGAACATCTTACCCTCTACCACCCCTCCAGGCTCTCCCTCAAAATCATCCTTGTCTACCGTCCCCCCAAGCCTTCCCCCACCTTCCTCTCGGACATCTCCACCCTCCTATCTTCCCTCTCCCTCTACTCTGAACGCCTCCTAATCCTAGGCGACCTCAACCTCCACTTCTCCCCCTCCTGCTCTACCTCTGCCGACTTCTCCTCCCTCCTCTCTTCCCTTAATCTCTTCCTCCTCATCCTCTCCCCACCCACATCCGTTGCCACTCCCTTGACCTGGTGATCACCCGGGGCCTCATCGTCTCGGACATTACCATCATCGATAAAGCCATCTCGGACCACCACTTAATCTCCCTCAACACCTCAGTACCCCTTCCCAAACCTCCACCATCATATACAGTCAATGGAAAAAAATTTCCTCTCTCTCTCTACTGCCCTGGAGTCATATGAACTCCTACACCTCTGGCCCTCACTGACCGATCTCCCCTCCTCACTCTCTTTTCTGCACAACTCCCTCTCCTCCATTCTAGACTCCCTTGCCCCCCTCCCAAACAGTGGTGTGTGGAGTAATGAAACTTGTCCAACATTTTGCCCTCGGAATGGAACCCTGGTTTCGCTTGCGAAGCAAGTGCTCTAACCGCTGAGATACAGGACTCCACAGTAATGCCAATTGCTACATCTAGTGGAGGCAGTCCGGTGCTGCAGGAGAGTAACACAGCAGAGACACTGTGTCTGAACTGCAACAGCATAGACCCTGTTGACTCCTTAACAGATCCTTCTGAAATTGTGAGTGAGAAACCGTAGAAATTTAAGTCACAGAACAAGGACTTTTTGGTCCATTGTGTCTGTGCCGACTCACTCA